TCTCCCCCCATCTTCAGATTTTTAAGCATTTTTTTTGAGTCACAGACTCCAGAATATAATAAAAAGTTTTCTCCCAAGGAAATGTAGAAATTCAATATTTAGCAATTTCAGGGTGCTTGTGGAGCCCATGAAACCCATTTTTGGACCTCAGTTTAAAAATGTCACTTTTGACTGAACTCTAGAGATTGGCATGCTGGAGATGATAAGCCAGATCCAGCTTGCTGTCTGTCTTTGTGCATAAAACTTCATTGAAACATACCTGTGCCTGTTCATTTATGTATTATTTGTGGCTGCTTTTGTGTCTCAAGGGCAGGACTGAGCAGTTGTCATAGAGACCCTCAGACCCACAAAGCCTACAATAGTCCCTGGTCTAGGGTCCTCATCCCCATGATCTTCCTCTTTAACCAAGTCCTTGAAATAGTACAAAAGCAGAAGCTCTGTGTTTATATTTAACTTCCACATGGGAAGTTCTGTTAACACTCCGCTTTTCTGAGCCTGATTTGGATATGTAAGACTTCTTTGTTAGTAACTTTCCTATTTTTCATTCAGATCCTATCCCTGGAGGCTGTAATTTGGAGTTTGACTTAGACATTGATCCCAACATTTACTTGGAATATAATTTCTTTGAAACGACTATTGAGTTTGCCCCTGCAAACCTAGGCTATGCAAGGTATGACCATCTCTGTCTCCTAAAACTGCTTTTAGAATAGTCATGACTGAATTTTGTGTAAATTTAGCAAACTTTCTGAGATCTGTAGTTCTCTGTAGTGAAATTGAATTGTTTATTTTTGGGGGGAAGGAATTGGTGTGATTTAAACTTTATTACTAATATTTCAACTGTTTTTTTTTTTTTGGTACTAGGGATTGAACTCAGTTACTCAACCACTAAGCCATATCCCCAGCCTTATTATGTATTTTATTTAGAGACAGGGTCTCACTGAGTTGCTTAGTGCCTTGCAGTTGCTGAGACTGGCTTTTAACTCACGATTCTCCTGCCTCAGCCTCCTAAGCCACTGTGCCTGGTTTGAACTGTCATTTGTAATTAATGTTTTGCCCCTTCATTCTTTATTTGAAAAAGCCAGACGTGTCTATTATGAATTTGGAAGTGCATCTTAATTTTTATAATGCATTTTAATATAGAAAGTCTTCTGTAGCTCTGAAATATCCTTTTATAAGATTTTTTTAAAATTAAAACTCTGCCTCAGTTTTTTTCTTTCTTTCTTTCTTTGGTGCTGGGGGTTGAACCTAGGGGTGCTTTGTCACTAAGCTACATCCCTAGCCCCCTTTTTTAATTTTGAGATAGGATCTCACTAATTTTCTGAGGCTGGCTTCGAACTTGTGATCCTCCTGCCTCAGCTTCCTGAGTTGCTGGGATTACTGGCAATCACACTGTGCCTGGCCCTCAGTTTTTAAATTTCTATTTTAACAGCAACAAATCCATTGAAAAACATTAGAATTCTTTATGTGGCACTCAGCACTGTGCATCATATGTAGTACTGAGTGCTACATGTTCTTTATCCTTCAATCCAAATATCTTATGAAGAAGGGGCGATTGCTCTTGTTTTACAGAGAGGTTTTTCTAAGGGTCATTGAGGTTCAATGATGTGCCCACAGGCACACCAGATGGCACAGCTGGCAGTTCACTATAATACTGACATTAGAATTTGGTTATTAACTGCGCTCACCTCTTGGTGTGTTTTCGGGTAAGCTGTTATAACAAAGCACAGATTAAGTATTCCTTCTCTGAAATACTTGAGATCACAAGAATTTCAGATGATGGAAGTTTTTTAGATTTGGGAATATGTGCATAGGTTTTACTGGTTGGGTACTTTTCGTCTGAAAATCAAAATCTGAAATGTTTTGAGCATTATATCTGTGCTCAAGAAATTCCAGATTTCAGAACATTTTGGATTTTAGAGTTTTGGATTAAGGATGATCAACTTGTACTGTAGACTGGATAAAGAATGGACATTTATTTCTCTCAGTTTTAGAAGCTAGCAGTCCAAAATTAAGGTGCCAGAACAGTTGGGAGCAAGCCCTCTTCTAGTTGCAATATCCTTAACAAGACACAAAGTGCTAGAGAGCTCTCTGGGGTCTCTTATAAGGGCAGTAATCCCAATTAGGAGAGCTCCACCCTCATGACCTAATTATCTCTCAAAGGCCCACCTTCTAGTACCATTACATTAGGGGCTAGGACTTCAACATCAATTTTTTGGATAACAGCAACATTCAGTTCATAACAGCATGTTACTTTTCTCCGGAATACCAATTATGTCATTGCAAAAGGTGAACTATTATATTTGAATTGTTGCAGAAGTTTGAAATTAGAGCTTTTGGTTCCTTTTGGTAGATGGGGCTTGCACCACACAAGATTGATTGTTCAGTTTTTTTGGTTGACTTTAGAGGTGCACATCCTCCACCATGTGACGTGGGAACAGGCCGGGACTTTAGGTGGAGGTTGCAGTATGATGTGTATCAGTATTTCCTGCCTGAGAATGACCTCACTGAGGACATGTTGCTCCAGCACATGCAGAGGATGGTCCAGGTGCCCGAGGTGAAGGCCAATGCTGTCAAGGTAAACCTGTTTCTCATGATCGTGTGGCTATTGTGACACTGTTGAAAAAGTTGAGGGGAGAACCTACCAGGACCTTATTGATTTACTGTTTTCTTGATTTTTTTTTTTGGGGGGGGGATAACCACTTTATTCCCTTTTATTTCGTTATCAAATGGGAAGCCATTGCTAGTGATAGGCCAGAATGATGTTACCCTTTGGAGAGATACAGGTATACTATATTGAATTTAGGCTGCAGCTATATCTGTGACTAATGATCTTGAGATACAGAGGGAAGTTGAAGTGATTTTCTGTGTAACTTCCGTAACTACTGGCTTAAAAGTTTTGGCAAGTATGAAGGTTGTAGTATTTAAATAATAATGAGAAATTGCACATCGGTATTAATATTTAAAACCTAAACTCAAAGTCTAACTTGGAGCAAAAGTTTTCTCTGAGCTTTTGAATCCCTGTAAACCCTGGCTACTCCAGTGTGGACCACAGACCCGCAACACTGGCATCATTTGGGAGTTTGTTAGAATTGCAGATTCTTCTTAGGCTTCACTCTGGAACTACTGAATTGGAATTTGTGTTTTATAGTCCCCCAGGTAATTCTTGTGTATATTAGAATTTGAGACTTAATGATTTAGATTCCTTTTGTGGAGGCCAGGATTTTAACTTCGTATCTTGCAAGGTACTTGATAGCAGTATGTCATATGAGGTCCTCCTTCAGTCATGGTTGGTGGGTGAGGTTTTTTTAGACTGATTGCTATGATTCTTCCTAGAAGATTAACAGATCACCAGGTTATATAGAAAGAAGTGGTTAAAATGGTGTATTATGATCAGCCTATAGGCATAGCCTATTGAAGAGTAAGGTCTTACTTTGTATGTGTGTCACCTGGGATGTCATTGCACAATTCTGAGGAGCCTTAATACAAAAAAACTCATCATGCTTACTCTCAAATTAAGAAGTTCTGTTCATTCCATTTGATTCTCTTGTTTATAGGAAATATAAAGGTTAAAAGAACCAATTGGATCTTGAGCACAATCTGACAAACCCAGCTTGTGGTGTATTCTGTAAAACTACTGACTTAATCTCTTTAAAAATCATCGAGTGGTGGGTAGGTTGGAGAGGGTGGTGGGAAGGACTGTTCTAGATTACTGAGATCAGAGATGCAAAACAGACACTAAACTTGAATGTTGGGTAAGAAGGAAAAAAGCTATAGAAGACATTAAGGGAAAAAATGGATCTGTATTAGATAATGAGAAATTATTAATTTTCTTAGGTGAGACAGGCATTGTAGTTAGATTGGAGAATGTTCTTAGTACCTTGCTACTCAGAATGTGGTAGATGCATGTAGAGTATTGTCAACACCTAAAAGATTGTTAGAAAAGCAACAAAAGCCACCTCTGACTGACAAAATCAGTCATTTTACTAGATTCAAGGGACATGATGTTTGAGAAATACTCTTTTAGGAATATTTAGAAATATTTAGAAGTAAAATGTCATGATATCTATAATAGTTCTGCAAGAAAAAAAATTGAAGGAGCAAGGAATAGAAAAGAAAATACAGTAAAATATTGACAATTATGTGGTATAGAGTTTATTGTATTATTAACATTTTTGTGTAGCTTAGATTTTGCATGATAAAAACTTGGAA